TGAATTCTTAGTGTCCCCAGTGTTGATCAGCCTTTAGGGACAACCAACATCATTTATGAGGAACTAATGAATACACTAGAATGCAGATTCATTATTTTTCAAAGGGAAACTTTGCAAATGGATACTGTGATCTGCTATCCAGATACCCTCTGCCAAGGAAGCCAAATTATATTAAAGAAGTTAACTAGGGATCAAATCCAATGTAGGGAGGTAGAGAATCTCAAGCACACTTCCCCCGCCTGGACAGGACACTTAAATTATCCCTGCACTAAAGCATTATGTTGTCCTGCTGGACAAAAGGCTCAATATCTCCCTTCCTTGGCTAGACGATATCTGTCAAGATCTCAGAATACCACATTTTCATTGTCATATAAAATAACATTTCTTCTGTTCACATGTTCTTTCCTTCTTTCTACAGATTTTACTTTGGAATCTATCTTTAGATGACCAGAAATCCTGAATTTTTTTTCTCTTGTTTCCTTTTGAGATAACATGGCTCCCACAATGGCTTCAACATATGGATACTCATTGAGCATTTGATATTTCTAGTTTAATTTTTAGAGAGAAAATTATCCTCCTCTTCCCACTGGGAATTTCCTTTATTGGGCACTTCTTTTGACCAACTGGCTGTAGCGATCATGTGCTTTTTAATAACCTCTTTCCATTAAGCACCATGGCATTTTACATTCAGAGTACCATCATATATATGCTTTCTTTTTTTTTTTTTTTTTTTTTTAATCAGGAAAACCTATTATTTTCCCCCAAATCTGCATTTGGTGGTGGTTCATCCTTTATTTTCTCACTATATTCTTAAGATTAGTGTGAATTCCTTTCTCATCCTCCATGCCTTTCTCATCTGAGATACTGGCCTTCCTCACCCAGGGACCTCACCAGACAAATTGTTTTCTGCTTATTTCCCCCAATTTAAGTCCCATCTCTTTAGATTCCTCTGACAGTTTTCACCATTATTCTTAACAAATTTATGTGAATTTATATTATCTCCTCAATGCATAATCCTTTCTTAAAAATCTACAGAAGACCAGGCAAATGAAAAGTGCGTATAAGGTACAAAAATTGGATCCCCTTCTTGGCATAAATAGTACATTTATGCCTAGAAGCCTTTTACTGTACTTCAAAGTAAACAATTAAAAACTGTTATTTTTTTGGACATCTATCTTCCCTCTTTCTTCTAAAAGAAGGGGAAGGATACTAATTGGGACTTTAATATCAGTAACTTAGCAAAGTTGCAAATTGTTGAGTTCATTTATTGTAGCTTGCAAAATCAAAACAGCGTCACAAAAGTGAAGTTTTTAGTATCAGACTTAGCAGAACAACCAGACCTTGGGGAAAAAGCAGAGAGAGAGAAAGATCTGGAGCAAGTTCTGTTTGTATCCTTTGTGTGTGAGTAATGCTACAGGAGATGCCACACTTTCTGTGCTGGTGACAGCAGGGACGGTGTGTTTCAGAGCCTTCTACACTGAATATTTTGCCGTTGGAATTATACGTGTTTTAAAGCATCGTGGGACCTGGGGAAGTAGAGGAAATTATATCAACTGAGGATATTATCATTCTCATTTGGCATATTCCAACCTCTGAATTATCAATCAATGATTGAGATAAAGTTTGGCTCTTGTTAAGATATATACTAAACAGTCAGGAAACTGATTCTAAGACAACTTAAAAAAAAGCCTTAAATCAGAGGTGCCTTGATTTTCACTTCCAGTAGTTTAATATTAATTTTCTTGGTCCTAATACAACTGCATTAAAGTGAACTTTAGAGTAATAAAATTAGAGAAAAGAAAATAAATGATGGAAGTTTATAAGGAAATAGGGGTTTCTATGTTACTCGGTTGAGAATCAAGGCCTGTCTCTTTTCATATAATTTATAATGTTAATTTTGCAAATGTTGATCTTTCTTAAAGGAACTTGAATTCTTGATGAAAACGAATGCTCAAGTTCTGAAACATTAAAGACCCACTTTCCGAAGACGATTTCTAGAATAAATACTGTTTTTAGGGAAAAATATTACCTTACTAGAAAGAATAATTATTTCAGAGGATAAGGAAACTTTGCGTTTGGATTCCTTATGAAAGAAAAATAAAAGCGTTAACTTCCTGAATCTCATTGCTGAATGAAGTAATTGGACAATGGAAAATGGGAAAAACCAGAATCCCTGGCTCCCCTGTCAGTCCCCCAGTCCCAAAGCTGTGGCTTACTCAGTTAGTTCAAGCCAACACATTCAGTGAGCATGAACCTTTTCCCAGTTAGCAACTTATAAACACACAGGGAGTTAACAGGGAACTGATTAGATGAATATTTCTGGAGCTGGTCATCACAATTTTGATTCTAGTTCCTCTGGATTTAAGGTTCTATGGTTCAAATCCCAGCAGGAGTGAATTTCTCAAGCAAAAGAAAGGCATTTATTGGTCTGGTTACTAGTGTGGTGTGAATTACTAGTGTGCTGCATGGGGATTCATAAACCCTTTGTTGAGAACTAGTGTTGTGAGGCCTGAGGATTGGGCTCTGGGGCCAGTTTGTTCCTGGAGCTCTCCCGCAGCTCCTGTGGAATAATCAGAACCAGGGCTTTTTCTGCACCCCTGAAATTGCTTTCATCAGACCAGGTTATGGGCTATTTCCCTTATAGTGCTACTTCAGCCTGCAATTTTCTTCACCTTACACAGGTGTCTTCAGAAGGGAAGCTAGATGTTCTTTTGCATTTGGTACTTGGGATCAACAGCTCCCTCCCTGCCTCTTCTTCTCCTCCCTTGCCCTCCTCATTCCCTCCCTTCCTCCCTCATTCCCTCCCTTCCTCCATCCCTTCCTCCCTTCCTCCTTCCCTCCCTCCCTCTCTCTCCCTCCCTCTCTCTCCCTCCCTTTCTCTCTCCCTAACCTACCTTCCTTCCTTCCTTCCTTCCTTCCTTCCTTCCTTCCTTCCTTCTCCTTCCTTCCTTCCTTCCTTTCTTCCCCACTTTCTTTCTTTCTCACTTTCTTTTTACTTTGCTTTCCTCTGAGTCTCCTGCCTCTCTTTTTCTTTCAATGTATACACTCACACTTCTGTTATCTTAAAGTATTCATAGAATCACAGGATTTTCTAGGCATTAGAATGAACTTCAAGAGCTCAGATGTTATTTAGCCCAATCCTATACTGGATGAATGAATCACCTCCACTTTATCCTTGTTCATTCATCTCCTGTTTCAATGGTTTATTATCTAGTAAAGCTGTCTACTCTGTTTTTGGGGTAGGAACACATCTCCATTCTTTTTCTAGGATCTCTTTCCCTCTCCTGGCTTCTATTTCTTTTTCTACCTTTCTGACAAAACCTTCTGTGGCAACCATGTGCCATTCTTTCCTTCTCTAAGCCTTTTGCTCCCAAACTCCTCTTTTGTTTCAAGAAATGGGGGTCATTTTGGAGGTTATCACAATTCTCACCTTCATTTCCTTTTTTGCTGGTATCTGCAAATCATTTTAACTTTTTTACTAAAGCTGTTTTCTTCTTTAGGTCTCCCAACTAAAGTTACTGCTTTCTTTTGGGAATTTTAATTCCTGAGGGTCTTCTAAATAAAAAAAAAATAAATCAGACTTTCTTTTTCATGTTATTTTTGTGTTCTCCTGGAAACTAATCAGTTTATTACCTTCCAGTGATCTTAGATGATTCCTTAATATTGGGAATAATTCTTTGGAGTGAAGGGAAGATCCTTGTATTCATTTATCAAATATGTAGATATCTATTTAGTATAAATATATTCAAGCCACATACATCTCGGGGAATACTCTTTCTGCACTCATTGATTCATTCACTCATCCATTCATAAACATGATTGGTTTCTTTATAAGCAGAGGCATGAGTACTCTCAGTCCCAGAGGCTAATTTTGGGTGTTGATAAAGCCAAGGTTCATTTTTAGAATCCTGAATATGCTTAATGTCTTGCACATTAAACTATAAGCTCCTTAAAATAGAGACCAGTTTTCATTCATGATTGTAGCCTCCAGAATCTAATGCTGTAGCTGACACCAATAAGCAATTGTTGAATATGAATGACTGAAATAATAGTCCTCAAAATGTGCTTGATTAAATGAACTGAATCACTCTTGTGTAGCTAAGGGCTAAGATGATAGCTAAATGGAAGTATTGCTGACAAATACCCGTTAGTCTGGGTAATTTGGTATTTGGTAATATTCTAAACAGGCAAAAAGCCAGCAAATCAGATTTTCTAAATCTCTGATTTGTCTCTCAACCAATGTGACACCTGCTTTTCAATTTCTTTTTTCTTTTTCTTTTTTTTGTTTCTTTCTTCTTTTTGTTTCCAGAAGGGAGGGAGATTGAATGAAAATTTTATTAATGCTTTGGAATAGGGGTGAAGATGAAGCACCCCAGATAGCTCTTAACACAGATAGCTTCTCAGTGGCCTCAGAGGTGGATGTGTTAGACCTGACTTTTGTTGTGTTGAAATTAAATCACATACTCATAGATTTTGCTCTGCTTAGTTTTTCTAAGATGGAAGAGTTTTAGATCAATCAAGTACAAATATCTGGTTGTTATGAATAGTAACATCATATTTGGTGTCTATTGTTGGAAGCAGTATGCTTTCTTATCGATCTAACAGATTTAGGGGCTCCAATTCAGTGCCCTACTCCTCCCCAGTAGTATGCATTTGGATGTGTGAAAATGCTTTGATATTTAGCTTATTTTATGAAGTGTTCTTTCAATTTCAGTATTAGTAATATTTGTATTAGGGCTCTGATAGAATCACAGGTGAACTTGATTCCCTTAGTACTTTTGTTTTTGTGAATTAAGTTGCTAAAATGAAAAGGGTCCTAATCCTCAGCAATAGAGAAGAAATATTACATGCTTTCTTGGAAGTTAAACAAATTATCCTAAAACACTAAAATATCAAGGAGGAAAATTATCCTGCTGGGAATCAAAAGCATAATACATTGTGAGTTTAATATATGCCAGAGAGTGCACTAACCATGCTATACACATTATTCCTTTCAGCAGTTCCTATGATACACAGTTCTCGCCCTATTTTACGGAGCTCATAGAAGGTAAGTAAGCAATCCACCCAGTGATATAGGTCACCTGTCTCAGAGCTGGAATTCCAACTCAGCAGTCTGTCTCATTCCAAATTTGTTTTGTTATTTTTATTGTTATCTTTATGTGAAATATTTTTGTTTATTTTATATTTATGCCTTACACATTTAAAAACATTATTCTAAAATGAGTCCATTAGATCACCAAAAGGATTTATGGCCAAAAACCTTGGAAACTTGATCTAAAGCTTTACTTCTTATCCATTAGTATCTTCTGTCTTCTTGTTCTTGTGCTATACCTGGATGTAGAGCACAGATTTAATGATTTACACACATTACAACTCAGCTATACTAATATTCAGTTTAGTGGCAGGAAAGAAGGCAGAAGTATAGCATCCAGAATATTTAATACATCTATTATTTCTAAATACATGTGTATCTGCAGAACATTTGAAGGAATTAAATTTTCATTTTCTACTAGTGAAGATCTCTAGGCAACAATTTATTTTACATAGGTCAGCACCAATTGGCTGAAGGTGCTTTCTTTTCCTTTGGTTTTGAGTTGGGTTCCAATTATTAATGGTGCTCTGTTTTAGTTGATTCCTGAATATAAACAACCCAGTCAACCTTCTAATCCTGCTGACTGGTATCTGGATCTGGGCTTTCTTATCCAAGTTGAGCTCCTAGGCATAAAGCAAATTGTGGATCCCAGAAACCAGGCAGCCTTGGCCTAAAGTCACAAAGTAGTTTCAGTGAGTTAGTGTACCGACCTATTTTCTTATATTTATGGTTTTATTAATGAACATTGATACATGGTTTATTTTTAGTACCACCTACTAAATGCCAGGCATTGTTTTAGGTGCTAGAAATATAGAAAAGATACTCCAAGGAGGTTTTTGAGGAATTTCTCTTTATTTAAAAGTTTTGATTAATTAATAATTATTATTACTTACCTATTAACTGGATTGCTTGCTTAACCTTGTAACTCTACCCAGATTCTGAAATACTACCACAGACACCATTGGATTAGAGGATCTTAGAGACTCAACTCCTCTTTGACATTTACCCAGGGAGATTTCCATATTTTAATATTTCATCAAAATGATTACATATCAACATTAATAGACTGACTTCTAATCTGCATCAGGGCAGACTAGCCCACCTGGTTGAAGGAGGCATCAAGTTGTCTCAGAAAAAGTATGGACCTTTAACAATGAAAGGGCCTATGTATAATTTATTTTCTTTTGAGTAGAGGGATAGAATTGGAGCCAGGTATGTGTATCTTTCAGGATATTATTGCAGCAGAGTTAAATACCAAACCCTTTGTGAAGGGAAGGACATGTGGATTGGCTGGGATGTTTAATTCCCAGTCCGCCACTAACTACTTCTGTGACCTTGAGAATGAGAAAGTCAATTAACCTTTCCGGCTCTCAGATTCCTCCTTCTTAAAATGATGAGATTGGACTATGAATCTCAAATATCTCTTCCAGCTCTAAAATTTTATGATTCCATGTTTTTTGAGGCATCACAAATATAGTATGGCCTTAAATTTACTTTTTATTGATATTTGGAAGATAAAGCTTCATCTCATAAACATCTGTTCCATGAAGCATCATCTTTGAAGTTTACATCATAATTGAAAAGTGATTGATTTAAAATTTCTTGCTGGAGGATTGGTTAATAACAACAAGTCAAAAATTCTTTGTGCTGTATAGCTTAAATTATAGATCAACATTTTAGCAAAGCCAAAGAGAATGGTATGAAAGGATATTTGCTAAATTTTCTCCATTATATTTATGTAATAGATATATATTATAAATAGAGAAGTCTTTTAAAATAGTTACTGGGTTAAATATTAATTGTAGGATTAAAAGCCGTTATTTATGTTGATTCTGTAGTTTCACATAATATGTGTGTTTAAACGTTCATAATAGTAAATGTTCGATTTTCTGCATTGTTGGGTAAATCTTTCCCACAGTTAGCTGTTAGAATACTGTGTTAATATCTATTATTAAGATTAGCAAATGGTATTATGTGAAACCAAGTGAAAATGGATGGTTTTGATGTAAATTAAACTTTGAATCTCTAGCCTGTTGACAAGGCTGTTGTATCAGAGTACTTTCTGGAATGCCACGGAGAAAGTTGTTGGAAAGGCAGTGCATGAACTTTCTGTCTGTGCATTTGCCCAGAGGCTTTGGTGATATAAATCTAAGAAAATAAATGTATGTGTGAAAGTCATACTGTCACTGTTGGATAAAGGCTATAACTGGGATCCATTGGCCTATGGTAATTCTATCTGAGGTGGCATTATCAGGTAAAAATGACTCTGTACAGCATGACGACACACATGATTTGAATTTTTTTAACCAAATTTCACTTTTTTTCATGATGGACATGAGTGAGAAACTACATCAAAAGTCTTTAAACACTTTTTTCACCCCAAGGTAAAATTTCGAAAGACTGGAACAACAATATTAATTACACCCTATTGTTTATTAGAAGTACTTTGCACGTCAAAATTGTAATGGATGTATTTTATAAACATTATCTTGACTTTTTTATTATCTGCACTTTCAGTTGACTTTATATTGGGGTTAAACCTTGGAATGCTCCAAATTTTGGGGAGAAAAGTAAAAGAGGGAAATAGGTTTATCTTTAGCAATTATATTAACTCCATTTGCAAATGCACTTTAGGAGCCTGATGAAAGGTGATTTTACAGTTTCTAATGTCCACATAAACTGGTAGCTATTAAAATTGTAAATGGTCATGATAGACTCTAGAGGCATAAACTTAGTAGAGTCTTTTGTCTGCATATTGAAAAGAGATGAACATCAGGGAGATGGAAACTTGCCTTCTAAGTTTCTGTTTTCTTTGAAAGATAGACCATTCTTTGGTAGACATGATCAGTTTGTTTTTAATTTAAAATTTTCAATTATTATGGGTACATAATAGTCGTATATATGTATGGGGTACATGTGATGTTTTGATAAAGGCATACAATGTGTAATGATTAAATCAGGGTAATTGGAGTATCCATCACCTCAAGCATTTGTCATTTCTTTGTGTTAGGAACATTCCAACTCCACTCTTTATGAGGTCTAAACCAGGATGAGAAACCTTTGATTTAAGATAATTGATATTGAAATCATATCAGAGGTCCAAGACTAAAAATCAACCTCACTCAAGTTATATAAATGCATTTTCCCCCAGGAAGTCCGAATCCTCTGGGATTATTTTCAGGACATTTTATCCCCGTGGCATGTTGCTCTATAGTTCTGTGTAATCAGTGCAAAAACTCAGTCCAGGTTCACCTTTCTTCCCTACCTTTTCCTAAAAGAATTGGTCACAGTTGTTTTGCTTATGATGAGAAAGGATCACATATTTCCACTTTAAAATTCCCTTTTCAACTTCCAGCTGTTTGTGGATTTCATGACAATGTTTTTTCATCGCAGTAAACATACAGTATGTCTGCCAGATGAGAAGAGGCATAAACCTGTTCTAGCAATGCTTTAGGAAATGGCTGTGGAATGTGCGGAGGTAGCCTGCGGCAAAGGAAGATGAAGGCGGTATGCAGTGGCGTGCTGGTCTGGACTGTTAGAGCCTGCTGGTGGAACTGGTAGCTTACTTTCATGATAACTCACCTGCTTATTATTCAGTAAGTACTTCCATGCTGTGTCACTGAGACCCCCATCCGTGCCGTGGAGGCTTGTAGCATTAGCTCATGCATATCAATATCCCCATATATGAGCAATCAGAGGTCTGGACAGAAACAGTTAAGCCTGGTCATAGAAGAGTGGACAAGGAGAAGTCTGTCCTCCTACTTGCAATAGACAACCACCCCAGAAGAAAGAAAAAATCATCTTGATTGATTTTCATTAGGTCAAAGAAATCACCCTTGTTATTTTTTATGATCTTTGTTCTATATTTTGTCTGCCTCTAAAAAGACATAGCACAGCATAACACTGTGAGGTCTACCAGATAACTTTTGAAAACTGGACAACAGAGAAACAGCTGTTAGGATTTAGGTGAGAAATGTGTTCTACACATTCAGGATTTCAAGTAAAAGTGTATGTCTCAGCTGAACACAAGTGACTTTCTACCATATACATTTACTTCATTAGAGATTGAAACACAAAGATTGAACTGTAAACAGTGAATTCTGTGTTCATTGCTCTTGAAATATAGAACTAAAACATCTACTTCTTTTTTTAAGAATTGTTTCATTCTCAGGTAATAGATTAAGGATAAAAATACAGAAATATTTGGAACATTATTTTCGACTAATTCTTTAAATAATAGTTTATTTTAAAAGTGATGTATTTAATGGGATCTGTCTCATATGAAATCATTGGTTCCAAACTTCTGAAAAGGCCTATTTGTGGATGAAACTATCAAAACTACAGTGTTTTTCAAAATTTACCATTTTTTAACAAGTGCATTCACAAAATGATGTTTTCCACTGTTCAGTCCAGAGTACGACAAATTCAAATGGCACTTTTGCAGACTCTGAGCACTTAGAATGATACTACAAGTATGCCATTAAATGTTACCTGGTTAGCCAACAAATGTATAGTATGTTCTGTTTGTATTCCATGACAGCTTTTGATTTTCACTCACAGGTGAAGGAACATAATGAACTGGAACACCTTTGTTGGCTACTGTCTCATGCTGATTATTTGGACATCATGATAACTGTGATACCATGTGAAATGTCAATAAGCTCTGAACCTTTTCGTCAAACCAGTCAACCACAAAACAGTACGAAGATGTTGTCAACTTTGTAAAGCAAATGGCTGGCATGTCAAAGAATGGTCACTGAGGACAGGTGACCCACAGGCATGACGTGAATCTTGGCATCCACGAGATTTCTCTTAGAGCAGTGCTTCTCATACTTCAATGTACCTGGGTCACCTGGGCATCTTGTCAGTATGCATATTTTTAAATTGATTTGTCTAGGGTGGAGTCCCAAGACCCTGAATTTCCAATAAGTTCCCAAGTGATGGTTAATCAATCACACTTTGAAAAGCAAAGGATTAGAGTACTATTTAATAATTTTTGGTGGGGGTGACTCTGTGGTGGATTGAATGTGTTCACTAACCATCTCATTACCCAGAAGAAGACAAAGGGATGTGGCATATAAGGTATAGTTTTTGGAATTTTTCTCACTACTTTCTAATTATACTTTTCATTTTAGGCTGTGTCTATGAGGACAAGAAAAGCAGATGAGAAGTAAAAAAAAAATAATTTAAAAATCATTCATCTATGTGGCATAAAAGTTTAATTTTCATTCAGTTGTCCGTTTTTACAAAAATGTCCTTTCTCAGCAAAATGATTACTTTTATCACTCGAATGTAGAGTTGTAGGAAAATATTCAAGAAATGCCATGTAAAAAATGATCAGTTAATGGAATCCTGTGTATACATCATTCCTAACCCATCTGAAAAGATTGTAATCTTCCTTCCTTGTCATACTTTGGTTTTGTGTCATCTAAAATTTCCCACTGGATCCCCTTGAGCCTGAGCAGTTTTACTTACGTAGGTACTGTGGCCATGTAACAGAAGAGAATTAAGTGGGCCACACAGGAATTAGCCCTGTGACCTTGGTCTCATTAGCACAATCCTCTGTTCAACTAATCTAACAACCCACACATTTGTAGCTGCCCAGGCTAAGGGAGATGAATGTCTCTTCCTTTTTTCTCCAGTTACTGAAGATGCTTCAAATGGTCCCACTGGACTATTGAGATGCATTTGCTTAGAGTATCTGCCAGGTTAGGCTAGACATTGAAATTTGTTGGTGCATTACCCAAGTACAGCTTTAACCTGGTAAATCAAAGAGGCTTTTTGGACAGTATCCACAATAAACTAGTAATTAGGGATTGAAATCTTAGGAGAGTCATGCAACCCAGAAACATCTTTGTAAAATGTAGACAATCGTGTCCCATCCTTTATACAATGACGACTCAGGTTAAATCATTAAAAAACATGTGAATGTGGTCAGAACATACCTTTCTCACTACCAAAGCATGCACGTACAGCAGAGTTGGCAAAGATATTTATCAAAGGAAATCATACCCTTTTCCTTTTCACAATTAACCTAGTGAAGCTGCCTAGACTAAAATCTTATTCTACAAGAGTGCTGCAATGGGAGGAATATCAATTTGGGTTGAAACAGGAGGGCATTTTGTAATCTTGATCAACAATTTTGGATCTAGTGACTCCTGGGTTCACTTTCTGCAAGAAAATCTCTTGCCAAAGCATATTTTGACATTCTCTGTTAGGAATTTCACTGGAAATTAATGTTTTATTCCCTTAATCCTTTTTTTCCCCCCTCACATCAGGCCTCACTAATCTGGCTTATCAGATAGAACTGAGTATTTACTAATCATTTTTTGTGGAACCCATTTTTTTAAAAAAAGCATCAAATTGGACCTTTCAACTGTCATTATATACATGTGATAGTATTTTATGCAGAGCAGACTTCTAAAAATGCAGCAAATCGTCTTGATTAAAATGGAAACCTTTTAAATAATCACAGGGTATAAAATTAAATGGAATAAGTCTGAAGTAATTCAAGTCAACCAAAACAGCTTTAACGCTGTTTTTCTCATTTCCCTCTGCTTCATCCCCTGAAGAGTATAAAGTTCTTAGGAGTGTATTAATGGAGTGCTGAGTGGCCCCCTGAGAATACCTGAGCCCTCCTCTCCAGAGCAACCGGTGCAATCGTTGTGGACGGCTCACACTGTCAGCATTCTCCCCCTGCTGCCTCTGCTCAGGCCACTCTCTGGTGAGGCATGCAACCCTTTCCTTTTTCTAAATAAGGGTTTGCAATCATGGGACTACTGATATTTTGGACCAGGTGGCTCTCTGGTGTGAGGGGGCTGTCCTGTGCACCGTGGGATGTTTAGCAGGACCCCTAGCCTCTCTGTTCACTACAGCCAGTGGCACCTCTTTCTTATAATCACCCCAAATGCCTCCACACAATGCCAAGTGTCCCCTAGGGCTGCAGTCCCCAACCCGTGTGCTGTTGACTGGTACTGATCTGTTGCCTTTTAGGAACCAAGCCACATGGCAGGAGGTGAGCAGAGGTGAGGAGAAAGTGAGCAAGGGAAGCTTCATCTGCGTCTACAGCCACTCCCCATTGCCTGCGTCACTGCATAAGCTCCGCCTCCTGGCAGATCAGCTGCAGCATTAGAGTCTCCTCTGAGCCTGAACCCTACTGTAAACTGCACATGCAGGGGATCTAGGTTGCGCGCTCCTTATGAGAATCTAATGCCTGATGATCTGAGGTGGAGTTGGGGTGGTGATGCTAGCACTGGGGAGTGGCTGCAAATACAGGTTATCATTAGCAGAGAGGTTTGACTGCACAATAAATGTAATACACTTGAACCATCCCCAAACCATCCCCTCACCCTGGTCTGTGGAAAAATTTTCTTCCATGAAACCGGTTCCTGGTGCCAAAAAGGTTGGGGACCGCTGCCCTGACAGACAATTTACTGCCATTGAGAACCATTGTTCTAAATCCTTTTAATCCCTCATGCCCAAGCCACACCTACACTATGAAGCCTTTCTTGATCATATATACTCTTCCATAATGACTTTTGCATTAAATTTATATAAAAATACAATTGCCTAAGAAATATATACTCATGGTGAAAAAATAAAACAATATAGAAATATAGAGAATAAGAATAGGAGAATTATAGTCCACATACATCTCTTTTCCAAATTCCCCCTCCCCTTTAGAGGTAACCATTATTAATATTTTAGCAGGTGCCTTTCCAGATCGTTTTAGGCCAACTGAAGGCCAAAGTGTGCTCTTATCATTTTCATTTGCTTTGCTTCCATTGCTAGTGAGCTTGAGCATGTTTTTGTAATATTCTCTGGCAATTTTTATTTTCTCTTTTTGTATTGCTTATTAGTTTCTTTAGTTCAATTTTCCAATTTATTTTTTCATATTAATTTGGATTAAAATCCATATTCACATTATAGCTACAAATCATTTGCTTTTTATTAATATATATATATTGCAAATTTCCCCCCAGTCTGCATAACTGTATGTGTTGCTTGTTGTATATTAAATTTTTAAATATCCCCAAATGTCAAATATTTCTTATGCCATTGGATTTTATATTTTATTTAGACAGTCTTTTGTTATGTAGACACATGAAAAATGTCTTATTTTTTCTTCCTGCTTTTATAATTTTCTTTCAATTAATTAACTTATATTTAAAAGTAGGAATTTAACTTGACAATAATGAAATCTACCAAAAGAGTTAATTTTCCTAACACCATTAATGGAATATTTCCTTAATTTTCCATTGATTTGCTGTATCATTTACCTGGAATTGGCTTATGTCATTTTCTATTATTATTATTATTTATCCTTTCATGAATATATTCTCTTCTTTTTTTGACAGAAAATGTATTTAAAAGATACTATTATGTAAGAACAGTAAAATATGATTTTGGGTA